TGTACTGTGACTATAATGTGTTATAAATTACATTATTATATTATATAAATAAATATTATTTGTATTCAAAAATAAATATAAATAAATAAATATAATTTTTATATGCCACTGTAAATCATTTAATGCAGAAAAGTGTAAAATATTTAATCAAATATTAATACCATTTATAACTATAATAAATAGCTTTACTTTATTTTAAAATATATTTATATAATATTGCATTGCAAAATATTAATTAACTTTATCATGTTTTATAAATTAAATTAAGTTACTTTTACAAATTATTTACATTTCTTTTTGAATATATTGATAAAAAAAAGCAGTGCCGCAATATTTTACTTGTCAATTTGTACTTCCTTAAAAAAACTGATGTTTTTATTACCATCTTTGGCTTTCCAGTTTTCTTTTGTTCCTGTCTATTTCCCCCTCTTTCTTTTTTTTCTCTTCTAGGGGTTCAACTGTTCTTATGTGGACCGACTTTTGTTTTCTTTGTGGGCCGCATCCTCCCTCCCTCCCTCCCTCCCTCTCCTAACATTTGATATCTTTGCGAGTTGCATCCCGTCATTTCCTCTCATCCCCCTCTTCCTCTTCTGACTCTCCCTTGTGCTTTTCTGTCATTGTTTATGCTCTTCCTCTGTCTGACACTCTTCATATCCTGTCACACTCTCTCGTAGGTCTTTTGTAGTCCTTTGTGAGAGTTAATGCATGTGAGTTGCCCCAACAAACTGGCCTTAGATGTTGTCTCAGTTGAGATGTGGTGACTTGCATTCGAGTGGAATGGTCGAAAGGATGTTGTGGTTGTAGGCTTAAACCATTGTTGCTGAAACTGTATCACTGTAACCACAGCAGTTAGCTCTGATGTTGTGTCACAGAAGAGTTTTTAGGGTTATTATAGCAGTCACCTGTTACTACTGTCAGCCTCTGGGTGCCAGGACTTTTTATGTTGGATGTGTTTTAGGAATTGTTTTTGGTCCAAGTTTGATTGCAGTTTTGATATTTGTTAAAGGAGACATATTATGCCCCTTTTTACAATATGTAATAAAAGTCTCTGGTGTCCCCAGAATGTTTCTGTAAAGTTTCAGCTCAAAATACTCCACAGATCATTTATTATATCATTTTTATAATGAGATCCCTTTGCCACGTCACCAAGGGAGCGAAATCAGACGCGCTCGTTTTCTCAGATGCTTGCAGAAAAAGGCTTCCCAAAACCAAGTTACTGGGTTAATCTTTTTCACGTTTCCTTGGTTGGTAGATGCACTGGGGACCTGATTATAGCACTTAAAACCTGTAAAAGTCAGATTTTCATGATATGTCACCTCATGGTTGTTTAAATATACTATGTCCATATTTAGACACATTTGAACCAGATTCTGGCATAAAAAACAAACTGATAATAAATTTCCTGAAAAATGGAAGATATTAAAATTCTATACTACTTTTTTCTGAATAAAACATATTGACTAAGATCAGTATTTTAAATCCTATAAGAAGTGTATTTTAAAATCATAGCATATTCATTTTGAGATTTGCTAAAGATTACATTTAACAGTGTTAGAAATTATTAGTACTAAATTATTAGTATTTTCTAAATATTAACTTTGAGTGTTAGATAGGTAATCTGAATATAAAAAGAATATAAAAATGAGCATGCACAATTAAATATACAATCGGCCAACGGAAATTTCAAAACAACGATATGGTAATGACTTATTGTATATCTCTATCTCTGTTTTGTTGTAAACGATCACATTTGACGTTTTAAGTCTTCAACATGGTAAGCAACATTCTTTCACCCACTGGTCATAAAGAAAGTACTATTTATAGCGGTAAGATTGAGACCATTGAGGATTGACGCTTCCTGGACAAAGATTACGTCTGATTCCAGACAAGCCCCCATTTTTAATGCAGATGAAGAAAATACGGAAGAAATTAATACTTTTAATCAGTAAGGATGAATTTAATAGATCAAAAGTGACAGTAAAGACACTGATGGTTTTACAAAAGATTTCTGTTTCAAATAAATGCTGCGTCGATGTATACGTGTGTTTTCTGCCTTCTTTCTATGGATTACCCCATGTGGATTATTAAAGACTGTGTATCATTATCTTCTTCATCTTCGTGCGTTCCCTCATGCACCACACTGTGACAGAAGACCAGACCTTACAAAAGTTAAGCGGCGCCACCATGGCTCCTAGCTCCCTCCTCTCCACCGTGGCCCGTCAGTCCACCAGCTCTGCCGGGCTCCCTCGTCCCTCCGGCTTCACCTTGGTCTGTCATCGACCATCCTATCACGTTTAATTTTCATGTTGGTTTTCACTATTACTTTTACTATTTTGCAAGTTACTGAACAATAGAAACTAAGTCCAATTAATATAAGTTAAAAGTCCTTAAGCTGATTGAAGACAAGTAAGGTTAGAACAAAGAAACAAATGACAAGCAATGGAACAAATAAATACAACAGAACAAAGATACAAATTAAATAAACAGTGCTTTAATTTGCAGGCAAGTCTATTTAAAAGTAGTATTCAGGTAAGAAATCCTGGAGCAATTGAAGCAATCAAATGTAAAATGCAACACGATATGAATTAAATTTACATTGATTATTGTATTAAAGCTATAAAAGTTATTCAGTTATGAGCAGTGAGTGATTTTCTCTTTTTCCTTTGTTGTTTGATTAAAATTAAATGATACAGACCGCAGCAGGTTTATTAGGCAGCTGTCACTTTAAGGATCTGACACAATGGATCTAATATACTGACATGTCCTGTTTTCGGTTTACGAACTGTTTACGTTCACTTAAGACAAAACTGACTGTTTATGTGAACACTCACCAAGCAGGTGATTACATTTTGATATTTTTGTGTGCATCTGACCGTTTATTATGCCTAAAATATTCTTCACGTGCCTATGTTCCTCTCCATCTTGGACCGCGCACAGAAAGCTGCCTGTCGGTCATTACCGGATTTAGGCCTGTCGCAATAAACAATATATCGACTTAACGCACAATATATGTACATGACCTCAATCATTTTTGGCGATGCAATATATCAATATTCTTAAAAATTAAAAGTTTGTTGTCAGTTGGAAGTGTGTAGGCCTTCTTGCATTATTATGCTGTTACATTATGATTATATATTCAGTGGCATACAATGATCTTTAAAATGGGCAATATATAGCACAACAAAAAGTTGTTATCGTGACAGGCCTAACTGGATTCGATTCTCTTTTTTGGCTTATTGCACTTTTAATAACTCCTTTTAATGTCCAGCACATCCCACTTTTTACTTTCTCATTCATCCATATTTCTTTCTTGCACTAACATGTTAATAACTCCTGCCAACTGAAAGCTATGAGGATATATTAACATACTAACAAAATATGACACGTTTATAGGACATAAAAGGTCACAGTCTCTATGATTTGTTTGTAAAGTAGATTGTGGATGTCTTCAAGATCAATCACGATACAAAATCCTCAGATTGCCCACCCGTATTGGACCTTTTACAGACTAAAGGCTACTTTTAACATAACCAGTTACAACTTGGATTCAAAAACAAGTATATCGTTATATGTAATGTTCAATCATGACAACTCTCGGAAGATTTAACATGGTGATGGATATGAAAATGTTAATGTATTTGGTCTTGGCGGAACAGATCTGCTACGCTGCTGCTGAATTGCTGCTGCTGTTGGTTATTGCTGTAGTTGTAGATTATTGCTGCTGCTGCAAGCAAGTACAGGAACCTGCTACTGCCAATTCATACGGCGATACGGTGCCGTGAGTATTTAAGACATACTGCTGCTGCACAAATAGCATATAAAATAACCCATAGCAGATCTATACAGGTGGAGCTGGGGAAGGTGGAGGTTTTCAGAGAACTCTGAAAGCGTGCTGCAGGAATCTCTAGTGAATGCTAGCCAGCCATATAAATGCAAAGCAGTAAGCTCATTGGCTGCATATGCAGCATGAACCAATCAGCTTGTGCCAAGTTGTTTAACTCTCTGAATGTCATCAGTTACGTCAACAACCCATCAGCCTGCGCCATCTAGAGTTTCATGACTGAACTATATATTTATGGGGATCTATACACTACGCTCTCAGAAAAAAAGGTACAAAAACTGTCACTGGGGCGGTACCTTTTCAAAAGGTACACTTTTGTACCTTTTAAGTACTAAGATGTACACTTTAGGTACTAATATGAACCTTTAAGGTACTAACATGGACTCTTTAGGTACAAAGTTGTGCCTTTTGAAAAGGTACCACCCCAGTGACAACTTTTGTACCTTTTGTTCTGAGAGTGTACTGTTTAATAGTTCACTGATAATAATGAGAAATGTTACTTGAGCAGCAATTCAGAATATTAGATTGATTTCTGAAAGATCATGTGACACTGAAGACTGGAGTATTGATGCTGAACATTCAGCTCAGGAATAAATTACGCTAAAATATATTTAAATATAACAGTTATTTTAAATTGTAATAAAATTCACAGTATTACTGTATTTTTTTAATCAAATAGACTTCTTTCAGAAACATTAAAAAATCTTACTGACCACAAACTTTAGAACAGTCATGTACGTTTGGTTATTCCCCCCCCCACTACTTAGTTTATCTTGGTATATATCACTATCTCCCTCTCTCACACACATGTTGTAATGCTTTTCTCCATGTTCCTCTGAATTGTTTATGAAGGTCCTTCCTGCCTCAGTTTCTTAGAAGTCTTCTGTCACGCTGAATTAATATTTTTATAAACTCTTAAACTGACGAATAAATTAACAATGCCTGCACATTGTAAGCTAAATATTACTTGAAAAAGACACATTACACAGAAACAATAGCCTTATTCCCCATACTGGTGTCATCTATTAAAGCCAAGACTCGCAGAAAACAGGAAGAGACCATGCAGAGGTTTAACCGGATATCCTGCACAGGGAGGGCGACCCTCGACCACAGCTTTCCCTTCCCTCATCTCTTTCGCTCTCTTTTCCTTCATCTCTCTGTTTCTATGCTACTGGATATTAGTCTCATTGCCGGAGAGAGGAGAATGTGTTGGTCTGGTGAATGGGATCACTGGGAATATCTGGACATACAGGTGACATTCTATGATTGACAGGATTGTTGGTTGTCAAAATAATATCAACAGATGAAAAAATGCTTTTTTGCCAGTTGGATGTGTTTCTCATAGGTTGTGTAAGGAAGAGTGTTGCTATAGCAAATCAGTAGGAGATTATTGTCACCGTTGTATTCAGTTTCACAAATTATGACTGGTAGATAGTAAAACAATGTTAAAAATCACATAATTGTGTAAAAATTTGTTGGCTGACTGTTCTCGATTGTTTAGTGGGTGACTAGTGTGCAAACCCGCGTAACATGTAAAACGTTTGTTTGAGGTTTTATAAAGTGGTTTTAGTGTGTAACTAATTCTTCAGTGTTCTTTTGAAGTTTTGGCAAGCCGTTGTTGTGTATCTTTACATTTTTGCATAAAGTAAAATGCTCTTAGTAAATGATCCATCCTGTTCCTGCTGCATCTGATATATTTGCTTTTTTAATACCTCTGATCCCAGCATTGATTTTTTTCCCTGTTAAAGTAAACTTCTTCAGACTGTTTGCATTCATTTGTAATCAATGGCAGTTGCTTTCAAAAAGCTCTTTTGTCTAAGAGTTTATATTATCCCTCAAATTCGGTAAACTTTAAGCATAAACATTTTTTCCCCGCAAAAGCTTCTGGAGCATAATAAAATAAAACTGATTGATTTCAAATGCTCTGGGTTTTCATTTGTTAAACCAGTAGAAGCCGATGTCTTGACTTGCAAATGTTTTTGCCCAATTTATCTCTGGCAGGCAGGGGTATCTTTGGAAGCAATGAGTAGTATCCCAAAGTGGAAGTCAGCAGGATGGAAAACAATAGGGAAAATTACCCCAAATGTCTGGAATCCACCAGTAATTTGTAGTTAGTTGGTTTCAGAGCTGTGTAAATCTAATATAAGTAGCTTCAAGTAGGGTGATAGGCACTTTTTAGTTTGTTTCTGGGCACTTGTGTTTTGGGCCATAGATGCTGAGTGTATTTTGAGAATAATATTAGCAAAATTCTCCACAATTTCTAAGAGATATTTAAGATATTTACTCAAATTTTTTTTGTTAGGTTACAGAGGATAAACCTGGTGTAGATTGCAAAACTTTTTCAAATATCACAAGCTCCTTCTACTAAATTGAAATGACTTCTGCGCAATTTCCAGGAGTCAAGGTGCACAGGTTTATATCAGTCCACCAGGAAATAGAGTTGTGTTTAAAGGGACCAGGAAAGAAGTAGGCTAATCCGTGGAATGGGACAGTTTGACACTGACACTGCAATAAATTGTGATATTTAGTGGTATGCAAACGGTATATCCTAGAGCACAATTTTATATTCCCAATTTTGTTTTCCAACTGATGTAGGTGAAATAATTTATAATTCATTCACAGAGATTAGCCATATTTGACCACAAAATCTACACGTTAAAAATGGCTGCACTGTTATTTTTGTTATTTATTTTTCCATATCTCATAGATTTCAGATTTACCCAACAGCATGCAAAATTAAGAACATTGCACTTGTTGGTCAGATGGTCTTTTCCTGTGGGCACTTCTTGGCCAGATAATGTGGACGAGACTTCATGCCAACATTCAAAAGTCTGGCTATGTCAGTTGATCCTGAAGTGATCTCAGTGGAGTGCATTTAGTGAATTACTAAGATCTCTAAGATATCTGAAGCTGAATTTGACTTTGATCTGCAGTTAAGACTGGGACTGCTTCATCTTTAAACTTCATCTTTCTGTTTTGCAGAGTGATCCCGGTGGGTTGTCAGTACTAGAGCAGCTTGGCTTGGACCACAGCTCCGATTTCTCTGACTCGAGTGTTCAGCAGCGGTTGGATGAACAGAGAGAGCGAATCCGTAGGGAAATCCGGAAGGAGCTGAAGATTAAAGAGGGGGCAGAGAATCTCCGCAGAGCCACTACAGATAAACGAAATGCGCAGCAGGTGGAGAGTCAGTTGCGGAGCTCCAGTCGACGTCTGGACTCGCTCCACGCTCAGCTACAAGAGCTGGATGCTCATATCGTCGTCAAAGGGACAGATGATTCACGTGGTGAGTGGACACAGACTCCTGTATATGAGAGATGATGACTTAGTGATGTCATCAAAGAAAAATTGGCTTTTTAATTTTTTAAGAACAATTTGTCTAATTATTGTTTTACAATTAAAAAAAGTATTAAGAACCTTTTTAATTAAATGTTGGTTGGTAAGATATATATATATATATATATATGTATATTGATCATTAAAAATAAGTCTGTTATGTGTTTAATTTTGTGTTTCTTAATTTTTTTTGTGGAGACCATGATTTATTATATTATATATTTGTATTCAAGATTCTTTGATGAATATGAAGCTCAAAAGATTACTATTTATTTGAAATATGATTTGTTTGGAACAATAAAAGTCTTTGTCAGTTTAATGTGTCCTTGCTGAATGAAAGTATTAATTTATTTAAAAAAAAAAAAAAACCTAGCTGACCCCATATACTTTTGAACAGTAGTGTACCTACAGAGGCTCACAGTGTAAATGCGGTCAAATTAATTATGCTGCTTCCAAAATCAAAGGCAGCATCGCATATTCATGGTGAAGGCAATCCCAGAATGCACTTTGGTGTTCTGGGAAGATGCTGGATGAGGCAAGACACGTCATTATTTTTTTAAATGTCATTCAATACTCAAAGTGAAAATAAAAGTAGTTCAATCTAATTACAAATGGATTACTTTATCTAATATTTGTGTGTGCTGTATGTTTTTGAGTATTAGGGTATTGTACTATTAGGTTAGCAAAATGCATCCTCAAACTCAAACTCCAGTGCAACTTATGTAGGCAGCAAGGCCTATTTTGGAACAGAGCCAGTCTGTCAAAAGATGTTTATGCACTGTTTACTAACTACAATGGTGTGTGTTTGTGTGGGCTTTTAGGATAAGAAGATGTTGCAGACAGCTCAGCAGATGCTACAGGACAGCAAGACAAAGATTGACATCATCCGCATGCAGATCCGGAAAGCAGTGCAGGCCTACGAACACAATGATGATACACAGGGTATGACTGAGTGTGTGTGTGTGTGCTACTGCATTGTTGCTTTTAGAGTCTGATTTCTTAGATGAGCAGAAAACTAAACAGATCAATAACCACCTGAATCCCAGAAGACGAGTGGTGTGTGTTTTCAGGGTGTTTTTGGTTGTTTTTGGAGTTGGACGGTGTTTATTCAATCTGGAAAACAGCATGCACTCACACACATAAGCAGTAAGCGCAGGTCATACAGATCAATAAAGGTGTGTGTTATGACCCCGTATGGCTTGGAGTGAATCAAACACACATAGACACAAACACAGGGTCAGGTAACTGATGACGGTCAGTTCCCACTCTTTCCTTTACGCTTCATACACACACACCTCTTGATTAACAGTTTACAGCAAGAAGCTGTAATATAGAAGCACAAAGACATTTAAATAGATATTATTTAAAAGCATTAACGTAATTTTAATTAGTTAATTTTCATGCAAAGTAAATGTATCCCAGTAACCATTTAATAAATAGCTTTCAATCCTAAACTTATAAGTTCAAGTACATTTCTTTAACAGTATATACTAAATATCATATTAAAATTCAGCTCAGGAATAAAAGCGTTATTTTAAAATGTAATCATATTTCACAATATTACTGTGTTTTTGATCAAATAAATGCATCATCCTTTATATATACAGTGGGTACGGAAAGTATTCAGACCCCCTTAAATTTTTCACTCTTTGAATATGGGGTGCTGTGTGTACATTAATGAGGAAAAAAAATTAACTTAAATGATTTTAGCAAATGGCTGCAATATAACAAAGAGTGAAAAATTTAAGGGGGTCTGAATACTTTCCGTACCCACTGTATATATATTTTGCAGTGCAAAATATAATTAAAAATGATAAACAGCTTACATACACCTAAGCTTTACATGATGTTGCAGTAATTATAGCTGATTATAGCATAATTCAGTCAGACCAGAGAGACTGTATCATTACATTTTTACATTTACATTTAGTCATTTAGCAGACGCTTTTATCCAAAGCGACTTACAAATGAGGACAATAAAAGCAGTCAAAACTAACAAAAGAGCAACAATATATAAGTGCAAATGACAAGTCTCGGTTAGTCTAACGCAGTAGGGCAGGTCATTCCACCAGGAGGGAACAGTTAATGAAAAAGTCTGTATCATATCATATGAAACAAAAATAATACAGGCTCATAGCAGCATTAGTTAACACACATTCTTTAATACTCCTGTATAAACACACACACACACCTTCAATGTGTACATGTACACACACGCACTCCCCGAGAGTCTGTTTCCGAAATTATGGCACTGCATTCGGCTTCATGCCTTATTAGGACACACGAAAACCTCTGCAGTCAATCCTTCAATACTTAGTCGTTTCTTGAAGATGGTTAAGGACTCAGCTGCTCGGATTGATTTGGGCAGGTCATTCCACCAGGAGGGAACAGTTAATGAAAAAGTCTGTATCATATCATATGAAACAAAAATAATACAGGCTCATAGCAGCATTAGTTAACACACATTCTTTAATACTCCTGTATAAACACACACACACACACCTTCAATGTGTACATGTACACACACGCACTCCCCGAGAGTCTGTTTCCGAAATTATGGCACTGCATTCGGCTTCATGCCTTATTAGGACACACGAAAACCTCTGCAGTCAATCCTTCAATACTTCTCATTTTGTCATGTTTTTTTTTTTTTACCCTGAAGTCATTTGAAGCAGCTCATGGGGAAAGTATCGTGATGTATCAATAAATGATTTTACTGGGACAGTCCTAACACAGGCACTAGCTCCCACACGCTTGTCTAGTCTCAACTATATTAAAAATATATGGAAATCTGGAAATAGTAAACAGCATGTAGTCTCAATGTTAGGTTGGGATGTTTTGAACCCAACCGCTGGGTCAAAACAACCCGATAGCTGGGTTTGTCCCTTTTTAACCCAGCATTTTTTAAAGTGTAGACTTGATGTCTGTATGGGTTCACATTCAGTTCAGTTTCATTATGGTTAATGGGTAGTTGACATTTCAAGCAATGACAGCAGCATCCTGCAGTGTGACATGCTCGTCTTCATCTAAAACAATTTTAAACCGCATTTTTAGTATACTTTCAGATTTTGCACTTTATATATAAATGTTCTCTAATTCAAAAGAGGTGGTGCAGTTTGCAGTTTGAATTCTGTATTGTGTGGATTCATTTTGAAATGATATTCTTCTTCCTTGCTGTTTAATTACAAGGGCTGACATGGCTCTGACCCATTCAGGCTAATAGCTTGTATAATTCACTGTGGGAGTGATATTGATAGCCTAATATATCTGTTTGTGTATGTCTCTTCAGGAAAGCCTGACCCATGTGGTATGGAGCTACGGATTGAGGAGCTCAGACACCATTACCGCGTTGAGCACGCCGTCGCAGAGGGAGCAAAAAATGTCCTTAGACTTCTTGGAGCCAATAAAGTACAGGACAAGAAGGCCATGTCAGAGGTATTATATTATATTATATATTAGGGATTTTCCAGACCGACAACTGCTGCTTGTTATCCGAACAATAACCGTTAACTGATAAGATTAGAATAATAAATTAGTACTAAATAAAAATAGAATGGACAAGTATGATGTAAATAAGAGATTAACTGTGCGGTGTGTAGCTTCTTTGATTACTTTAAGTTAACTTTGTAAGATCGCGATGAACTGAGTGACAGCTTTCCAGTGATTATAAGGGGAGCGGTCTTTGTGCACTTTCTAGGCTATAATCCATTAGATTTTGAATACATTCACTCACGGATTCATTCTCTGCTAACCATTTATCCAGTATTGCCACTTGCCATTGTGTTGTGTTTACTACTACAGTTAGCTAAGTGAAAGTGGAGCAGGTGCTTGCTCAGCGAAATATGTTTAGGCGTGTGGTTGCACGTGTCGATACGTATAACATATATTAACATATATTTCTTTAACCTTGCAGCAAACATGGAAAAAAAACCTTTAAAAAATACCTTTTATAAACCATTTAACTGATAGTATTAATCGATCAAAATTCTTACTTTCGGTTAACGGTTAAGCGGTCAAAACTTACATTGTTACAAAAAATTTCAAAGTTTCAAATAATGAATGTTCTATTTATCAAAGAATCCTGAAAAAATGTATCACCGTTTCCACAAAAATATTAAACAGCACAACTGATTTTACTATTGATAATTATAAGCAATATTTCTTGAGCAAATCAGCATATTAGAATGATTTCTGAAGGATCATGTGACACTGAAGACTGGAATACATTCTGGAAAAGACTGGAAAATTCTGCTTTGCCATCACAGGATTAAATTTTAAGATATACGAAATCTTTCACAGTGTTGCTGTTTTTCTCTTTTTTTGTGTATATCAAATAAATTCTATTCTAAAAAAATTCTAAATTCTATATAATTAAAATAAATTCTTTAAACACATTAAAAAAATCTTACAGACCACATTATATCATTATATTATATGTAAACAGTAGCTTTCAATTTCAACTTGATTAAATAAACACACTGCTTTAATTATTATTGTAGTATCAACTATATACCGAAGTACTGGTAGTTTTGATGTCCCTGCACTCTTTTAATAGGTCATTCCTCATGTCTTCTTCTCTCGGCTTCTACAGGCTCAGTGTCGTCTGAGCGAGTCGTCTCAGAGGTTGGATCTGCTGAGAGATTCATTAGATCGGCGGTTAGCAGAACTTCCTGAGGATCATCCCAAAGCATCTGTTATCAAAGAGGAGCTGGTGTTAGCCTCCTCACCAGCGTTCAGTTCTCGACACGGCGCCCCCTACCTGCACAACCAGTACAGCACCCTCTCCAAACCCTCTCCCCTCACTGGTATTCAAAAACATAATTTACACCTAAAAATGTATGTTTATTTAATTTAATTTAGTAGAAGTCATCAGATACTGGCTTCTAAAATTAGATTTTTGTGTGTGTGTGTGTGTGTCTGTGTGCAGGCACCCTTCAGGTCACATTGCTGGGCTGTATGGGTGTGCTAGAGGTGGTTCCCGGACGTTCCCGTGGCAGCCAGGTAGTGTTGCCGTGTTACAGTCCGGGAGAAGGGCGGTCCTTTATGCGGAGTGGAAAAGGCCTATATAGTCGCAGCGGCAGCGTTAGCGGAAAAACACCCATCAAAGCAGACGAACTCTCCTGTGAGTGTGTGTGTGTGTTTGGAGGATGGAGGATTCATAGTGTGATTAGTCCGTGGTGATGTGTGAGTTTTGATATAACTCAGTCTGTTGTGTCGGTCATGTGCGACGACAGCTTTGCATTGAACAGAACCGGATGTAGTGCATCTGAGCTAATAACACATGGGGTGTTGCATTATCATGCTGGCGAGTGATTGGTTGACGTATTCAACATATTTACTGAGCTTGAACTCACAAAAATCATTCAGAAAGTGTATGAGAAATCAGGAAATATTGACCTTAATTTGATCTCAATTAAAAGATACATTTGTATTCATGTCGGTGTGTGCAGCGGAGGTAAGCGCAGTACTGAAGCTGGATAACACAGTCGTGGGTCAGACAGCGTGGAAGACGGTTGGAGAACAGGGCTGGGATCAGACCTTCACCATAGAGCTGGAGAGAGTGAGTTCAGTTCTCTGTTAATAGTAGATTTACACAGATTAGAGGTTCAGCGTCGGTTTCATTAATTAAAGCTCCAGGTAATAAGCTGTAATTATAATTACAAAATCAAAAACCGTTGGCTGTGTAACATCAGTGACTTTACCGCTGGAACATCTCAAATAACTCTTACACAAGCAAGGGCATGCTATTCTTATCTAGGGAAAAAAGCAGATTGCACATGCAGAATGGTTAACAGCCATGCAAATTAGGACTTGCATGGTTCTATGTCTTTTTTCGGTCAGGATATATAATATCTGGACAATTATTCGTTAAATTAAGCTGAACAAATACTGATTCTGATCTCCTTGACCGGTGTCTTTGTTGTTAACTAAAACTGAAACTATTAAAAATAGTTTTCTGTAACTGAAATAAAGCTGAAATGAAATGAATATTTGATGAAAAACCTAAACGAAAAAAATATTACCTTGTAATCTAACTGAAATAAGTTTAAGTATTAAATGTACCAAAACTGAAATAAAAATAAATTAAAACTGAACAGAAATATAAAAAACCTAATAATAACAATAATAACAAAAGCACATAAATAAATTACTAAAACATGAACTAAAATTAATATACATTTAAAAGCTGTTTAAATTGATAAAATGTAAATGTATATCTTCAATGCAGTCGCTTTGGATAAAAGTGTCTGCCAAATGCATAAATGAATATAAATGTAATGTAATACTAAAAACACTGCCTCTGATATTGATATTGATCATTGTGTGTCTTTATGTGTGCAGTCCAGAGAGATGGAGATCGCAGTGTACTGGAGAGACTACCGATCTCTGTGTGCGCTGAAATTTCTCAAGTTGGAGGATTTTCTGGACAACCAGAAACACAGAGTACAACTAGAGCTAGAACCACAGGGACTGCTGTTGGCAGAGGTGCACACACATGTTGACTCAAAAATATGTCTCTTATGTCCATAAAGGGAGTCTGCCTCACTGCTTATTGCAAAAGTTGCTTTATAAATGCACCCAAACCAAATAAATGTGCTAAACTGGCCACCATTGAAATATGTGGGTGACATATGTGTACCATCTGTCTGCCTCAGGTTACCTTCTTTAACCCCGTCATCGAGAGGGTTCCACGGCTAAAACGGCAGAAGAAAGTTTTCTCCAAGCAACAGGGTAAGAGACGGAGATAAAGGTTTTCTCTGTTTACAATAAATGCTGGAATCTGTTGATTAATTTATCCAAATGCACTTAAAATTGACCTGAATGTAATTTCACCTTGACTTTAATTTATGACACATGACTTGAATTGTGTTGAGCGCCATCTAGTGGTCAGAGGTTAAACAGTGGTGTTTCCTGTGTGTGTGTTTGTGGTCACATGCAGGTAAAGCCTTCTTGCGAGCTCGGCAGATGAATGTTGATATCGGCACGTGGGTGAGGTTACTGAGGAATGCCATACCAACCGTCAACAACACAGGAACCTACAGCCCTCACGCACACACAGTACAGACAGGGTAAATCACACACAAAAACAGACATAGTACATGTGCATTTATACGTAAAAATAATTAAAAGGATCACCCGCAGAGCTTGTACAAACTTCGCAAATTTGTGATGAGAATTGTTAATAAATGTAAAGTTTTCCATTAAAAAAAGCTTTTAAGATTAATATATCATTATTGCAATTTTACATTTGTTTTGTAAAATAATAATAATAATAATAAAATACGTGTTTTTTTATTTTACAGTACTTACAATAGTTTTATTACCGTAGTAATATTTCTTTATTGGTTTGTGTCATTTATATAATTTAATAAAATAAAATATTTTATTAATAATAATAATAATAATAATAATGTATAGTCATATCGAATAGGTTCCATAAAAAACCAACAGTGTGAATTGTTTTAATTATTTTAAATTTTTTAATTATTTTAATTTAGCTAACATTATAACTTTTATTAACACTTGTCTGTTATTCAAGTCTAAACCTCAACTAGAGTGCAACTAATTTACTAAACAGTATTAGTATTGTAAAATAAGTGGATCTGGTTAACTAGCTCATGTCCTACAAGGTGGAATGTGTTTTTAGTTGTCGTTACTTATGTATTTGTGTGTTACAGGGAGATATCGGTGGAGAAGTTGAGTTTAGACTGTGACTCACCAATGAAGGTGGACGTTCGGCGAGATGTGATGGACACAAGCATTCCGGTGAGAGACTTTCTCTATAACTCCTCCCCTTTCCTCTTTAACCCCTCCCCATCTCCCTGTAACTCCTCCCCTCTCTCTGCTTCTTGGCACAGGAACGACAACAGGCCACTGAGCCCGTCTCTGCTCCTGACCTCACCACACCTGAACGTCAAATCAGAACACATTCACTGAGCAGGTACACTCAAACACAGGATATAAAGATTCCCAGGTATATCTGAGTCTTTATAGTGGTTTCTAAGTTTGTGTGTGTTTGTGTGTGAACAGTAAACAGAAGAAGACTGCTTTGAGCCTGCAGGATTTCAGACTAATAGCTGTTCTTGGCAGAGGCCATTTTGGAAAGGTAGTCTTCATCCTTCCTTGCCTTCTATCATTTCTTTGATCCTACAGCTTCTCCCCTCCTAGCATTCTCTCTGAAATTTTCATCATATCCGTGTCTGTCAGGTTCTGTTGACAGAATACAAGAAGTCAGGCAATATGTACGCCATTAAAGCCCTGAAGAAAGGAGACATCGTGGCCAGAGATGAAGTAGAAAGGTAAACAAAATAACTTTTTCCTTGTTGATTCCTTCTCTTTTCATGAAATGAGTTTTAAATTTTTTTCTTGTTTCTTTCTCTCTTTCCCTCAGTTTGATGTGTGAAAAGCGCATTTTCGAGACCGTGAACAGTGCGCAGCACCCCTTCCTCGTGAACCTGTTTGCATGTTTCCAGACCCCAGAGCATGTGTGTTTTGTCATGGAGTACACGGCAGGTGGCGACCTAATGATGCACATACATGCAGACGTCTTCACCGAGCCACGAGCTGTGTATGTAAACCCTTTTGTCAGGTTTTACTATTCCGGACTGTCTCCACAAAGATCAAAAAACCTAAAATTACACACACTACTGTTCAAAAGATTTTTTTAATGTTTTGAAAGAATTCTCACCAAGACTGCATTTATTCGATCAAAAATACAGTAAACAGTAATATTGTGAAATATTATTACAATTTAAAATAACTTTATTCTATTTTAATACATATTAAAATGTAATTTATTCCTGTGATGCAAAGCTGAATTTTCAGCATCATTACTCCAGTCTTCAGTGTCACATGACCCTTCAGAAATCTTTCTAATATGCTGATTTGCTGCTCAAGAACTATTTATTATCATTATCAAACAGTTAAAAACTGTTTTGCTGCAAGCGATTTCTGGAAGCCAAGGTTGACATTTGAAATCACCAAAACAACCACGCCCCTACCCCAAAAGGGTCTCGCCCCTATTTTGATAGCTCCGCCCCACACATACGTACGCAACCCAGGCAACGATTAGTTCTGTTAAACAAAGCAAAACCAATGTTAAACCATGTCTACACCGGACGCGAGCGGTGCGAAAAAAATACTATAGAACTCATTATAATCAGTGATGCTGTCTACACCATAGATATATACACATATCTGTGGTCTACACTGGATGCGGCGCGGCACGACACGACAAATCCCCGACAGAAAACTGCTGCTGCGTTCTATTCATGAC